GGGTGAAGGTTGAGAAGGATGACAGAAGGTGAGGACCGAGGTGTGTGACAAGCGTGAGGAATGAACGAAGACAGAAGGGTGAAGGTTGAGAAGGATGACAGAAGGGTGAGGATCGAGGTGTGTGACAAGCGTGAGGAATGAACGAAGACAGAAGGGTGAAGATTGAGCTGGATGACAGAAGCGTGAAGACTCAGGTGGGTGATTAGTGACTGAAGACTAAGGTGGATGACAGACGGGTGACGACTGAGGTAGAGTGAGTGAGGTAAGAGTTATAGTCACATCGGCAATATTTCATCCATATTGTGACTTAGATTGAAGTCAGAAGGGTGGGGACTGAGATGCATGAGAGCAGTGAGATAGAAGTCAAAAGGGGGAGGACAGAGATGGATGGCAGAAGGTCGAGTACTCTGATAGAAGACAGAAGGTCGAGGACTCTGATAGAAGACAGAAGGTCGAGGACTCTGATAGAAGACAGAAGGTCGAGGACTCTGATAGAAGACAGAAGGTCGAGAACTGAGATGCATGACAGAATGGTGAGGATTGAGATAAAAGACAGAAGGGTGAGGAATGAGATGGACGACAGGAGGTTATGGACTGAGATAGAAGACAGAAGGGTGAGGAATGAGATGGACGACAAGAAGGTATGGACTGAGATAGAAGACAGAAGGGTGAGGAATGAGATGGACGACAGGAGGGTATGGGCTGAGATAGAAGACAGAAGGGTGAGGAATGAGATGGACGACAGGAGGGTATGGACTGAGATAGAAGACAAAAGGGTGAGGAATGAGATGGAGGATGGAAGGCTGCGAGAATAGCCGAATAAGGCAGTGACACAGGGACAATATGAAAGGTGAAACAAAGACGGGTTGACAGACCCACACATTACGGGTGAAACAGACGATAATATTTAATTAGGGGCGGTGGGGTAACATAGTGGTTACTACTCCCCAGATTGGTACAATGTGTGAAGCCCAATTCGCCGTGATAGTGCTGGAATATTACTAATAATGGCGGAAAACCATACTTGCACTGTCTCAATGATAGACTGCGGATTTTTATTTTATGCAGACGTATACGAAAATGTGTTCATCGAAGAATGAATATTCCTTTGTATACAAATGTATAACAACAAATTACGCCCTTGGGATTTTGGATGAGAACTCGCTTCCAACACACGATGCTCATGCTTAAGGATCAAATACTATTGTCGAGGTACAATAACAAAATTAGGTGGTATTGGCTGTAGTAATGACAAAAGAGACAAGGACAAGGCTGGACACCCAAGGTTGTACTAAACTAAATCACAATCACTTGCTTGCTGAGCCAGTGTCGTGTGCAAACATCGGACCAGATGTGATTGGATGAAATAGTGTAAGATTGTTATTGGGTTTTTTTAAAAACACATCCATCCAGTAATTAATACTGACCACAATTTTAAGCATTTAATGCAGTCACTTTATCATCATGACTAATGCTTAATGTGTATACAGATATTTTCAAAATTGGTGACATTTGGTGCGGAACTAGGGTTGATATGTTCAGCTTCCAGTGCTCAGAAAATATACAGAATACGTCAGCTGGAATTTGTGTTTTTATTGTAGGTTAATTTCAGACTGTACCCATGTGTACATGGAATGGGTATTAGCAGCCTGGAGGATTTTAAAAATATATAACGTTTCTATAGAAGTCTATGGGAAAACATTTGGTTTCGTGTAATCATAAAGCCACAGTTTAGATGATTTTCAGGCGCTTCAATTATTATACTCTATTTCGAGTTACCTCCCCTCCGTTAGCAATGCAACGGATGTGATGCGAAAGGGTTTATCGCTGACTAATCACCACCTCAAAGTTGTTCATGAGCAAATGAGCGAGTATCTTCGTCTTGTTTGAATGAGTTGCGATTGTTATTATATATGTAGTTTGATCATATGCCCTCAGTGAGCTGAAACAGTGGGCACAAATCCGGTTCCGATTTTTAAATTAGAATACATGTACAAAAAATTCTAATATAAAATAAACTAGTGCTCAAAAGAAAATATGCAGTATGTTTGATCAAACTTGAAAAGAAAAGAAAAGCATAATAAATGAACATCTATTTAATGTCAGTAGAGAATTCAATTCTATAACAGCAAATGTACACAATTTAATTTCATATACAAAGTCGAAAGTACCGTTTGACTGACACGGAAAGGCACTTGGTATCAAAATATCATGAAGTCCTGAATCAATAGTTAGTGTGGCCACAATTGGCTTCAATAAACGCCAGAACACATCGACGCATTGATGACGTAAGACAACGAATGGCGTAAGGTGTGATTCGTTGCCATTCCTGTAGGAGATATTGTTTCAATTGTTGAGCGATGATAGATGGCGCTGGTAGTCTTCTAATTTGTAGATTCAGGTAGTCCCACAAATGTTCAAACGGACTTATGTCAGGGGAACATGCTGGCCACGACAAAACAACGATGTTAGCGTTGTGCAGAAAGTCATCTGTCAGTCTCGCTGTGTGAGTGAGGCCTTGCGTTATAGGGTTGGTGGCCAGTGGCACGTGGTTGCTGCAGGACAAATGGCAACACAACTAGTCGCAAACTTCATCCCTTGCATTCAGGTTGCCATGAATAATACAAGTCTCGTTTTGAGATCGTCGCTGAACACACCCAGAGTCAGATGCACTCGAATACCCTGTTCTCTCAGTCGCCAGCACACTGTATGTCGACTGATACGGTGTCCTACTGCCGTCGCTGCCGTTGACGTCGCCGGTACAAATTTCTCTGATGGATTGTCCGTATGTGGCGATCATCACCGGGCGTTGTCACACGTGGTCGACCACCCCTAGGCCTGTCTGACATCACCTATATATCAGAACAAGGATGTAGTGTTGTGGACTACTTCATAAGTAGCGTTGATTTGTTTTATCTGTCTCATGACTTACTTGTCGACTGTAGGGTCGAATCAAAGCATATGCCTGTTAACCTTTGTTTTAAATCTAAAACATTGTCAGACCCTGTAACTAATTTAACGCAGAATGCAGAATGTAACACCAATCTTACATATAAGTGGGATGAGAATATGACTCCATTATTCTTAAGTTCGTTGAGTACGTCATACCCTTCGTTACATGATATAACTAATAGAGTTTAGGATAATCTTACGGAGAGCATAGACATGTTTGTAAATGCTTTTGTCTCAGCTGCTGAATGTATGAAAACAACAGTTAGAATTAAAGCTGAACAACGGCATAAAGGTTTTTATGATATGAAATGTAAAAATGCCAAACAAGAAGCGAGAAAACACTTGAGAAGATTTAGAAATAATAAAAGTCATGAAAATAGACGGTTGTACTGTCAGATGAGAAATAGATATAAATATGTATGTAAAATGTCAAAATATATTCAACAGAACAAGAAAAGAAGGTTCCTGTATGATAATGTCAAAAATTCTTCGAGATTTTGGAAGGAATTAAGAAGTCTCTCCGTACAGATGTTAGTACTTCAAACATTGAACCAGACATGTGGATGAACCATATTAAGAATGTGTTTAATATTTATGGGTACCCAGTTTAATGTAGATTTTAAGGCGTATGATGATTAACCGTTAGATGAAATTGATAAATGTATTCTTGAATCGCCTATTACTGATGTAGAATTCATAATTTCATCACCCATATAAAGAATGGCAAATCACCGGGTCATGATCATATTGTTGCCGAAATGTTGAAATGTTCTGAAACTCTCATAACTCCATTTTTAAGAAATTTATTTAATCCAATGTTTGATTCAGCCTTATTTCCTGAGCAGTGGACGAAGGCAATTATCACCCCGTTACATAAGAAAGGCAATAAGGATAATCCAGATAATTACAGGGGAATTTAAGTTATTTGTACATTAAGTAAAATATATGCATGTATACTAAATAATAGATTGACTAACTGGGCTACTATACATGATAAACTTACAGAAACCCAAGCTGGATTTCAACATGGGTATTCTGCTAAGGACCATATATTTACTTTATATGCTTTAATACAAAAATGTTTATTGAAGAAGAAAAAGGAGTTGTATGTAGCCTGAATAGATTTTAGGAAGGCGTTTGACTCCACTGACCGTAATAAACTTTGGGAATGTTTATATTCATCTGGATTAAGAGGGAAGATGTTAAGAGTCCTTCAGAGTATCTATAGATCTGTGAAATCTTGTGTTAGAAGTAATAATATTATGTTCACTGATTTTGTTTAATGTCCAATAGGTTTGCGGCAAGGTTGTATTTGAAGTCCGCTTTTATTTTCTTTCTTCATAAATGAACTTTCTTTAGAAATTGCTAATAATGGAAAATATGGTGTTCAGCTCTTACCTGATATGATCGAGATATTATTATTATTTGCTGATGATGTGATTTTAGTCTCCGATGTGATATCTGGTCTTCAAAGACAACTTAACATTTTAGAACAATATGCAGATACGTGGGGTCTAACAGTAAATTTGGAGAAAACAAATATTGTAGCTTTTAGACGAGGTTGGCGCCTGTTGAAGCACGACAAATGTTTTATATAAAGGAAATAATGTTATAACGGTAGACTCGTATAGATATCTAGGTATTCTCTTTGCGTCCTCATGTAAATTTAATAAATGTATACAAGATTTGTCATCTAGGGGTAAAAGGTCTTCATTGGAAGTTATTTGTTACCTGTGTAAACTAGATTTTGTCGACCGTTTTCTTTAAGATATTTGATACGCAAATCCAACCAATTCTTGGATATGGAGCTGAAGTTTGGGGTTATAATAATTTCTATAAACTTGAAAATGTCCATCTCACTGCATGTAAAATGTTTTTAAACGTCGGTCCACAGAAACCAAATGCCATTGTATACGGTGAATGTGGCCGATATCCACTGTACATAAATGCACAATGTCAATTTGTAAAATATATGTTAAAACTTGTATCTATATGGGTCATTATAGAATACCAAAGAAAGCTTATGACATGTTACGTTATAATGATAACTGTGGATATACAACTTATATTTCTTATGTTTGTAATCGTCTATTTTCACATGGTTTGGGTATGTTTGGTTGTCTTAAGCTGTTGGTGATATTTCATTTTTCCTTGAAATGTTGAATGTTTAATGCAGTTAATATGTATTTACAGCCATTGAATGGTACTAATCAAGAAAGTTCTCGATATAGTGTATATAGACAATATAAAAGCCTACTAGAACCAGAAAAGTACCTCTCTCTATTAACAAGTCAAAAACAACGAAATATAATGATAAGACTTAGGTGTGGAATTTTAAAATTAAAAGTTAACGAGGGAAGGTGGTTGGGAATTGAATTAAGTCAGCGATTATGTCAATTGTGTAAAAAAGGAATTGAAGAAGAGTATCATTTTATCCTTGTATGTAAACACTATAGAAATTGAAGACAGCGTTATCTACCATATATGTACCACCACAGTGTAAATATTCCCAAATTTAGACAGCTAATGAATTCAAAGTGTTGTGATGTATTAAATAATTTATGTCGATATGTTTGTCAAAGTTCAATCTTAAATGTTAGAAATCTGTAACATATATAAAACATCATTGTATATTGTACATTGTATGTAATTAATGCTCGATGTAAACGTACTATGTGTATATGGGCCAATGGCCTTCATTCAAATAAACAACTTGACTTGACATATTGCCTGTTTGTCCTAATCGTTGCATCAGTCAGATGACAGTTTTTCAGATGCAGCCGAAGGTTCTGGCAATGGCTGTGCTTAGCTCCTTGATGGACCATTCCCAAAGCTCTCACTTTTTGGATTTGCCTCAAACGTGGCATATTTGTTTGTTCTTTTTACTACTGTGTTGCTCACGTGTCGCGTAAGCTGTTTTATACCGTCAGTATGCACGTGCCTTTTGTCTTGCATCAGTCGTTTTGGCAACGTTTAGGTCTTCTGTGCAACAAAATTGATTGTCAGTGTTTGCGGGTCGGTCAGGTTCATTGAATAAGTGGGAGTTTTTCTTGACGGAACAAAGTAAGTGTGGTTCATGTAATCTAATCTTGTTTCTTGACAGAACTAAGTAAGTGTGGTTCATGTAATCCTGTTTCTTGACGGAACAAAGTAAGTGTGGTTCATGTAGTTGTTTCATGTAATCTTGTTTCGTGACGGAACAAAGTAAGTGTGGTTCATGTAATCTTGTTTCTTGACGGAACAAAGTAAGTGTGGTTCATGTAATCTTGTTTATTGACGGAACGAAGTAAGTGTGGTTCATGTAGTCTTGTTTCTTGACGGAACAAAGTAAGTGTGGTTCATGTAATCTTGTTTCTTGACGGAACAAAGTAAGTGCGGTTCATGTAATCTTGTTTATTGACGGAACAAAGTAAGTGTGGTTCATGTTCTTGTTTCTTGACGGAACAAAGTAAGTGTGGTTCATGTAATCCTGTTTCTTGACGGAACAAAGTAAGTGTGGTTCATGTAATCTTGTTTCTTGACGGAACAAAGTAAGTGTGGTTCATGTAATCTTGTTTCTTGACGGAACAAAGTAAGTGTGGTTCATGTAATCTTGTTTCTTGACAGAACAAAGTAAGTGTGGTTCGTGTAATCTTGTTTCTTGACGGAACAAAGTAAGTGTGGTCCATGTAATCTTGTTTCTGGATGGAACAAAGTAAGTGTGGTTCATGTAATCTTGTTTCTTGACGGAAGGTTGGGTTACAGTAGAGTGAGGAGACAGGTTGCACTGTTTCAACAAACCTGTCAGGACAGCATTATATAATTGTACTGCCCGCAGTTTATGTACACCTCTCGACCCCTAGAACATGTCTGGGAAGAGACAAACGACAGGACCGTAACTCTATCTGACATTGGGCCAACTCTTGTCTGATTGGAAGCAATATTTCCAAGGCTGTTTTAATCTGCTTTTGTCTTATATGCCCTGCCTCTGCCTCGCCTGTATCTACACAGATAGTGACTACACCCGATGTAGTCATTGGTAACTTATTCCAGAGGGAGTTATAGTCAGGTATGGATTTTGGGCTCAGTAAAAAGCATGACTCGTCAGTCTACTAATCTAAGTGCTAAGTTAACGTTATAACACTGGAGCGTCTTTCAACTGACCTGTCTGCTAACTAAGTAATAACAGTGGCCACTCTGTCTGTTTAACTAAGTACTGACAAAGTAAAAATACTGACTCGACGTAATATTAATCTGAGAGTTCAAAAAGAGATAACCGTTACTCGCCGCTGCACGAATATCGTAGCGCTACGAATGCTTTGTGGATAGGGACCCAGAACAGAATTGATATCCAACCTTTTCAATGATGTCACTAATGGGACCAGGTTGTCAGGTTGATGCATGTCGTATCCCTATTGCGTATATCGATGCTCATGATGTCAAACACTGGACTGTCTGTATTATTTACAGGCCGTCGTCATTTGCCTCGAATAATCCTGAGAGGGGCTTTGAATAAACAAACAAACTCTAGTGATAATACCAGGATATCCGGGGAAGACCTACGAAACTGAGTGAGTGAGGTGGTTTTCAACAGCACGCCAGTAATATTACTACATGTAAACTCGAAATGAGATGATATCCCAAAGTAATGCAGACATTTCAGACCATAACACCAAGGAATACATTCCAGTACAGCTAATTCCGGTGAACCCGTGAAGATCCGGGTTAGAATTGATCTTCAGTAACCCATCTTTGTCTTAAGAGGCGACTAACGGGATCGAGTGGTCAGGCTCCTTACTCGCCACTGCACTTATTTACGAACAAACCGGTCAACTAATCTAAGTGATGACAAAGTCATAATGGTGATTCCCAGCTCAATAGTTTCAGTTTGTTATAGACCCGTGAACATCCGGGTTAGAATTGGTCTTCAGTAACACATTGATTGTCGTAAGGGGCGACGGGTGGTCAGACTCGCTGACGTCATCGTATCCCAATTACAGCGATCGATGCTCATGTTGTTGATCACTGGATTGTCTTTTCTAGACTCGATTATTTACAGACCGCCGCCATATAGCTGGAATATTGCTGAGTTAAACAACAACCAGTTTGTTACAAAGGAAAATTATTGTGGTCAACCCGAAAAAATTAACCATACCCTTTCCCTCATGTCTAGTCTTGACGGCTGCGAACTTCTACATCTGATCAGAACATTGTGGGTGGGAATGAGACCAAGTCTACAACAGCCAAGGTATGTTTCACAATTAAGCAAAGGAAAGTCATAGCTCTCGTTTCTACGTTTGCGTTAGGTACAATAATGTTTTCAGGACACAAGAAGAGTATTTATCCTGCATGATCAAATGAAATTAAGGCAATTTATCACCAGTGTTTGTTCAAAAGCAGAAAACGCGATTCGTCCCAGAAACGTGTGGCAGTAGACTTTCCCCAAAATTGGTTCAAGGTTTCTCAGAGCAGTATTGGTGTTCATGAGTTTCAGCAGTAAATGTGTAAAACCTGCATCACTTCAGACTAACAAGCTGGAAACCGAGACTAAACTCTCTCGCTGATTCATGCATCCAAATTCAGTTTTGTTTCACATTTATATTCAGAACACTATTCACGGCTCGTATTATCGGTCGCACTCGTGGCAATAAAGAAGTTGACTATCCATAGAACTTCATCTTTGTTTTCCTTCATCTTCACAACTTCTAAAATGCCTCTCAAAGAACTTATCGTATTATCGGTATTAGTATCAACTGTTACGCGCGCATAGTAATGATCGGAATTAACAGATGGCAAGAGATACCTATATAATATTACATGGAGTATAACTCCATGAAAATGCGCTGATAGTTTTATCACATGCTTTTCTCTCCCCTCGTAAGTGTCGTCTGCTCAGCATTGAAACCCACGTGACCGCAACGACCTCATGACGTCAACAATTAGCTTCACACCTCGGTTTAAGTAGTAAAATTTCAATTGTTGTGTTCACCATGAGGTTTATGGCGTTGTCGCCCATCACAAGGCGCCTGTGGGATTTTGAACGGTTATTTAATAGCCTCTGTGATAGGGCTTGCCACAGGAAGATCGCTTTCATTCAATGGCCGACACAAGCAGACGGCTGATTTATGGCGAAGCGCAGAGGGTCGACACTCTGGTTCAGCCCACTTTGGGAGGTGTGGCGTGCCACGGAAATACACCCGCTCGTCTGTGCGACGTGTGTGACGACAAGGAAGATCTATTGCTTTATATACCCTATACCCCTTATACCGGGATTGCACATGGATGGCCGAGGCGCCTTGTACATGCACCATCGCCATGGAATATATTAACCTTATTATATTAAAGTTCCTCTTTCTCATGACCCAGCGCCCAAAAAATTGCCCGCCCCATAATCTTTTAATGTTGTTTTTTTATCTTTAGTTCTTTTCTTTATTTAGATTCAAAATATACGTTTAAAGTTAGATGTGCACATGACAAAGACTACTTGAATGGACAACACCTTCTTTATGATACATGCACTACATCGCTGGGATACCTATTAAAGGGCAAGAAGTAAACCTGGTGCATTGTGAAGGGTTTATTATAAAGTTGTAGTCCTTGTTTATTGTTATTCATTATGTGCGTCGTTGGTTAATCCGTGTTAGAATGGGTTCGCAGTCCCCAAGAACCTACCCTTGTTGTGAGAAGCGAATTGATGGATTGGGTGGTCACGCTCGGTGCTTTGGTTGATAGTGTTCGCAATAATAATCACCAGATTATAGAAGGAACAATTATGAGAATTATGTTGATTATGATTATAAGAAAGATAGAGATTTGCCACATCTTCCCGAGCGGCTGTGAAAAAAACAGATTCCACCCTTGCCGAACTAGCCTGGATCGTGACGCCGTTAGTGGATATTATGAGTTTTATATCATGTCAATCATTCAAATCCAACCTTTCTCAGTAAAATGGAGATTTTCGAGTTTGTTTGGGGTTGAGTCCCATCCGGAAAGCTAAGCCACCTCATAACCGGCACACAAAGTCAGCGATCCAAATAATGGATTATTCTGAGCAAACGTAATCACATATATAACGTTTCTTTACACATGACCACCTTTTAGATGGGCATTGAGTATTCATAGTTTTCTTCCAATGCTACGGCCCGGAATTTTTCTCCAACATTCTCCTACCGATATCATCATACTGTAATAAGACAATAAACCCAATTACTATTTACCTACTGTGTCCACATCCCACTGAGCAATTACCCAATAAAACCACATACCTCCGTTCCATACCGAACATAAGCATGACCAAATAGCCCAAAGAGCGGTCAACATCCGGGCATTCGAGGGTCTTCCAATCTTGCACAACCTTTATGATTGTAATGCGATCCTAATGGTCACGATCGGCGGGTATTCCAATACGAAATTAATGATAAGTAATTGAGGTGATAAAAGACAGATGGCAAAACTCTCGCAGAGCAAGAAGATCGGGTTTCGAGCCTACCCGGGTGAAAATGGGAAAGGGGCGTTCTCGGGTGGTGTGATCGGAATGCACCTCAGTTGCTCTTGGGTCTTGGTACCCTTTACAATAGGGGGATGTCAGCGGTTAGGTCATTCACAGAGGGCGGGTGTATAAACTTGATTAAGTGGATAAACTAGGTAAATACCACGTTCAAAGCATTAAGGTGAGAAATAAGTCATTTTCAACAGATTCCATGGCCTCTGGCGTTCGTGTCACTCTCTCAATGTGTGACATGGTACTGGTTTATGACATGTAATTTGTTTTATTGTTTCATATATACACACATGAGAAAGTTTCACTTCTCACTGAGATCATTTCAAAGTAACAGATTTCATTGCAGTGTGATTTATTAACAGAGGGTTTTATATTTAATACTTCCCATCAAAAGTTTAGACTCACTTTTATATATACTTCCCATCAATAAGTTTCAGACTTTTTAAAGACACGCACTAGGGGTGACAACCATGTATGAGTTATGTATATATATATGGTTACATGGAAGATTGATTTCTCCACTAACCTGGGGGGAAGCAACTGCAAACTTTATGCAGATGAATTGCACGAGGATCATACATCAAATTTCTGAAAAGCATGTGCAAATATCGTGCATGTAAACAGCTGCGTTTTGGTGTAAAGTTTTGTTAACAATTCGCCAATTTTCATTGATTTTTATCATTTATTGAACTCAGGACAACAATCTTTTCAGCGTTACAAATTTGTTTTACAATACATCAGTTCATGTGTAAACAGTACCTTTAAACAGTATGGAATATTTTGCAAAAGGTAGTTTAGAAATGTTCTCTGAAGTAAGTGGCTATATTTACACTAGTGAGTCTAAACGTTTGGTGGGAAGTATATAATATGAAGACAAATGTAGACCTACATGCATGAGATGATCTGCCAAAGGCAGCGGCGACTATCAACTGGACAGACATCTGGTCTCTCAAATGAACATATGTTACAGACAAAAACAGTTCCTAAATTTTATTCATCAAACATAAAATATACATACTTCCTACATCGTCGCTCATACAACATGGATCTTGACGGGTATCTGATTGGATGCAACGGCGCCTTGAGCATGTACTAGTTGCGTGGATATGTGCGCTATATAAATACCCTATATCAATAACAACATAACGACAATTACACTGATGAAAGTACATTACAGCTGGGAGCACATCGCGACAGCACGACACACCCATATTGGTCTTCAGCCTCTTTCTCTTATATCTATCGGGCGGTGGAGTAGCCTAGTGGTTAAAGCCTTCGCCGTTCGAAGACCCGGGTTCGATTCCCTACATGGGTACAGTGTGTGAAACCCATTTCTGGTGTCCTCCGCCGTAATATTGCTTGAGTATTGCTAAACCAAAACACACTCACTCACACATATGTCTATGAACATTATGGCAGTATTAACCTTCACTATTATATTAAGCCCAAAATCTATTAAAACGATTGGAAATAGTTTAGTATTATAATACAACAGTTAGGTATCATCCAATCAGATACCCGTCAAGATCCAGGTTAGAATCTGTCTTCAGCAACCCATGCTTGCCGTATGGGGCGACAGACGGGATTGGGTGGTCAGGCTCGCTGACTTGATTGACACATGTCATCGGTTCCCAATTGCGTAGATCGATGCTGTTGATCACTGGATTGTCTGGTCGAGACTCGATTATTTACAGACTGCCGCCATATTACTGGAATATTGCTGAGTGCTGTGTAAAACAACAAACAATAAAGAAAGGTCACATTTCCTGACCGTTTCATGAACTCAAATTATAAATTTCCATATAATCAAATATCCCTTTGAGGAACATCAGTGCAATAAAATGAAATAGCGGGGGATATTATACTCCAATCATTACACATTTGTACTGAACAACTTATACTCTGTACTTCATGTATGTGCAACATGTTAGCAAAAAGTACCTACGTGGATGATCAGTTACATGACTTCATCTAACTCTCCGAACCCGCCGACCGCTACTAAAGGCAAGGGTTCTGTGATTCGATTCTTATTCGCAAATCCACGACGTCTCCGAAATAGAAATAGAATTGATACCTATACATATTAAACAAACATACCTCTGTTCGCCGTCAGTCATATGGTATAATTACTGACGCTCGTACTTTAAGAAGTATTCTTTATATACTCATGCCAATAATGGTTGTATACCCCCTCCACACCCCAACCCCCCCAACACCCCACACCCCCTCTCCAATAAACAAAATTGAAGGGGGTGACAACCATTATTGGCATGAATATGTCTGACAAAAAGACAGAAATCTGTGTACAACACACATGAAAAAATGCCAAAACAGTTGGTTCACACATACACACACATAAGCAAGTTACATGATTATGTACATAATCATCTTGACGAGTTATTTCTACTAAAGTCAGAATCCATTGTCTCATTCCATATCATGGGAATAATTACCATCAACGAATCAACATCAAAATCAGTATTTGACATAAAAGCATCAAAGCTATTTCGATAATCATATTTCTGGTGTCCCTCGGCATGCTAGCGCTGGAATATTGCTGAAGAACTTCACTCAATTTCTCATTCTACAATCAAAAGAAGCTTTAGCTAACTGAAGATACCTGACAGACACCAGACTCTGTCATAAGCTTCTGTGTCACTATCAAGCAGAGTAAGGGTATCTTGTACCTTTGGTGAAACCCGTTACAAGCATATGTAAAGGTAAGCCACAATTCACCTGAAAAATAATGAAGGTATAAAAATACAAATCTAAACAAACAAAACATT